ACGACCTAGAGGGAAAGAGCGTGAAAGGGATTCTAGCCCAGTGGGAACGGCCTCATTTATTGCGTTCTTTAAGGAGAAGTGTGTAGACACCCAGGTTCTTACCATGTTGAGTCCATGCCACACTTATGCAGATAGAAAAAAGAGAAATAGTGATTATAATTATTATATCTCAGGGATCCTAAAACAGGTAACTCTGCACAACTCTGATTTGAAGTGTGTGTAAATTTTCAAAATGTTGTCACTGGACTTGCTAGGGATGGGAAGTGGTTGGAGAAATGACAGAGTGATGTGAGGTTGGGACCTCTCCTTAGACTGGGTTGTAGATAGGACGATGGTGCAGTGTTTTTCTCATCATAACAGGTGCCCTTTTATACCTGCTCTTACAGGTATAATAGTTTATTACTATTAATTAGTAATTATTACTAATATATTCTTATTAATTAATATTAATTAGTGTTAGTAGTTCAGAACTTGGTGAGCACACTGTCTCTTGTGTTCCTCTTGGCATTACCTCATCCGCCTAACACAGTGTGTTAAATTAGTTCAGTGCTGAGAGGAGAGGCGGAGAGACATTCTGTGGCAAAGGCAGACCAGCGATGACAGTGGACACTTGCTTAGAAGTCTGCTTCCGCCAGCTGCGAGGGATGTGCCCATCAGGGACCTTCCCTCATGGTGTCATGTGTTGGCAGCTCGTGTGTTTCATGGGCTGCACACTGGCCTCCCTGTTGATGCCACCTCCCTGGTCCACCAGTGCTTGTGTGCTAGGGAAATAGATGGGAATGTCCACGTTAGTGGAAGTTAAATGCCATTTGGAAGTTAGGGTCTTTGTTTTTGCATAAATATACGTGTCATCACACTGCAGAATGGTGTTGCCATTAGCCATCTGTACTGTGCTGAGCCTGGCTAAGCAGACCTTTTAGAATTCACTGAAGTTGAGTGATGTGTGAGGAGAAAGGGCTGAATTGCCTGATTTTTAGGGCCATAACAATTCCCAGTGGAATTGAAGAGGTAACAGTTCCCCATGGAAAATTGTCCCTCTGCAAATCCATCGACCATTGTGTGGAAATGTCTGGGTTATTTTGAAAAGCCAGGAATCTTCCTGCATGTGTCTGAAGGAAGAGACCTGAAAATAGGCAGAGCTTTTACTAGGAATGGTTTTACTGGGAATGGTTTTCAAAAGTCAGCATGGCCAGCTTCAGTTCACCACTGCATGAATGGTCAGCAAGTAGAGACTTGAGAGTAGCTGGCCAATCAAGCTCTTTTCCCCAGCCTTGAGCTGCAGAAAATCACTGGGCACCAGAAGTAAGTGATACAAACCAGGGCACATCTGTTGCTATTGCCAGGCCCTCACCAGCAATTCTCATATGAAAAGAAGCAGTTTCTAAAATGGCCCAGCTGCGTGGGCAGAGGAGGGGCGGGGAGGATGTGTGAGGGGCTGTGTGGGCAAAAAGATGGGACAGTCTTTAAAAAGGCCCAGAAGCCTTGCTAACAACTCCTGCTCTTGGCAGCATGAGAGAGGGGTCACGAGGTGGTTTTCTGGGTTCATCTAAAGTAATACGGTTACATGAGTGTTTGGAATCTCGCTTATAACTCTGTGCACATCTTTCATATTTTGTTCAGCTCTGGGTTGGAGTAAATAAGCCCTGTTTGCCAGTCACTATTTTTAGAGGAAGAGGAGACAGTCACAGTCAGCTTCCATCAAGATTACGGCCTTGGAAATCGGCGGGGCAGTTCTGCTGTGTCCTCCCTAGGTCACTGTGTGTCAGCTCCATAGCCACGGACTTCGATTTTTTATGGGATAAGGTCCATTTGCAGTGTGCGTTGGTCCCATCCCCCAGCCCGTTCCCCTGTCACTCTCCATAGCAGATGGTCAATTCTGTGAGTGCCAGTTCTATCACAATGCGGGTGCAGAAAATAGAAAGCGAAGCTCTGCGAAGACCCCTGGTAGATAGAACGCAGCTGGGTTTGGACAGCAGCTTGGGGATCTGTCGCTGTGGCTGCTGAGTCCAGCACGAGCCTGAACGTGGGGAGCTGGTACTACGTGTTGGGACAAGCCAGAGCCCGTCCGCCGGGCCTTCTGAACGGAGGGCAAAGCTCTCTCCCAGGCAGTGGGCTGGTGGAAAGGGCCACGAGCTGCCCATCTGAAGACAGCAAGAGGTCACAGCATCCGTGGTCAGTTTGCAGGGTCAGCTGGTGGCCTTTTTCAGATCCAACCAAGTGGCACTTCGTTTAGCAGGCATCTTCTCTAAGGTTGTCAGGCAAAGTCACTGTGGAGACTCTGACAGTTTGAAAAGAGAGTGGTGGAGGAGGAAGTTGGGCAGGGAGAAAAGTGCAACAATGAAAGAATGGAAATCCAAAGTCTCTGTGAACTTTCATTAAAATGAATAATAATACCCTATGGTTATCACAAGAGTCCAGAATGAAGGTTGTATACTGGAGTGTACTCGGGGTGGTGGGGGGATTGTATACCAAAGAAAGAATTTTTCTTTTACTTTTCAAGGAGATGCGAACTGGGTGGGGGAGGGCTGGGCAGGGAGAAAAGTGCAACAATGAATGAATGGAAATCTAAAATCTCTGTAAATGTTCATTGAAATTAATAAAATAAA